GAGAAAAATTTAGCAATAAACTTATCCGCCAACTCATCCTAAGTTGTGATGGAATGGTTGGGAAGTCTCTCGAGTCAATCTAATGCTTTCCCCCGAAGTGAGAATGGGAAAAGCCTCAACCTAAGAACATCCTCGGACACATTCGTCTACTTGCTCCCCCAACATGTATCCACGAAGCCCTTGAGATGTTTGTAGGCATTTTGATCTGCAGCGCCCGTGAAATACCCACGCTGCTCAAGTAAGGTCAACATCACATTGGTTATCTGAAAATTGCCCGCTCGAATTCTGGGTGGGACAATAGCACTTGCATAGCCTTGGTTCAGGAGCACCCGAGGAACCGCTCTTGGAGGTGGTGGAGGAGGGTCTGGAACATTGTCATTAGCATTGGCCTGGCGGCCTCTACGTTGTCCTTGAGGTACAAGAGGCACCTCTTCTTCTCCAATGTCATCTACCTCCTCCCCCGCATTCACATTTCCAAGAGGGTCATTAGCATTTAAAGCAATTTTGGTACCGAAGTATTGACACACACAAATTAGTTACAAGAAGGAAAGAAGAACAAAACACAAATCTAACTAAATAGATAGCCAAAACCGTTAGCTCCCCGGCAACGGCGCCAAAAAGTGATCGCGGCCTACTCCGCGCTACTATTTAAGCAGCGAGAGAGGGTCGGAGCAGCTTTTACCCGATTTAGGGTCGGGATCGAATCCACAGAGAGCTAGAATTTGGAATCGAGTATCTATCTAGTGTAGAGTTGCGTATGTGTTCTTAATCGCACTTCTATTCATTTTTTGGGTTTTTGTTTACTTCTACTATTATCAAACTACAATTGGTAATTGTAACTAAATTATGCTAAGAGTTATAATGCTATGCATTGTTCAAATAGGTTTAAAAGGCACTAGGGTAGTGACTACCGCCTAGGTGGTCAATTGACGGGTACTTGAATCTAAAGCACATTTGACATGTTTGAGGAGTATGTTATAACCGTTGCACGACTTTACCCACTCTACACCTCTCGGTGGTTCGAGTGATTTTGCCCGAATTGGCTTTCTCAAGACCAATCGGGTATGTAAATTTGCACAAGCAACTAGGGTTCAATTCGGGTATTACACTCTCGAGGTTTAACCCTTTAATTGGGGCTATCAATCTCTTAAGTACGCCCCAATTCATTGTTGGACCAATTTCGGAGACTTGGGCTCTCTTTCTCAAGAAGAGCTCAAGTCAAGTCAACACAAACTAAATTTTGCAACCACTAATTCAGAAATTAACCATGAAATTGACCCAAATAACAAACGCCCATAGTCAAATTAGCCCTTAAATACAAGACCCATCAATTACCCACACTAGGGTTGAGCCACAACCCTAGCTTATGGGTCTAGCTACTCATAATTAAAGAAGAAAAGCAAGAAATAGATGAAGAAAAGCTCATAATAATTAATCACTAAGTTAAATACAAAGATTCAATGGTTAAAAGTAGCTAAAATTTCCCAAAATGGCTTAGAAAATCGAACCCACGAGTGCAGCTGCTTCTAAAAACTATCTGATACCCTAAAAATGGAAAAAGAAGCTATTTATACTAGGCTGAAAAATCTGGACAAAAATGTCCCTGCGGGGTTAGTACGGACCGCACAGAATGGACTGCGGCCGCACTAGGACTCTTGGCTTCAAAATCCAGCTCTCTGAACTCAGGCTCCGCGGACCGTTTAGAATGGACTGCGGCCGCGGAGGCTTCTAGTGGCGGTCCACGTAAATTGGACTGCTGACCGCGGAGGCTTGAAACTCTGAAAATGAAACCTCTTTGATTCTTGGCTCTGCGGACCGCACTAAATCGACTGCGGCTGCATTGCCTTCAGTGCGGACTGCACAAAACCTTGTGCGGCCGCACTGCCTCTTAGCTTGGAATTTAGCCTCTCTGAATCTCCTAGTGCGGACCGCACTGGGCTTGTTTTTGCTAAGCTTGTCTTGTCTTTGGCACTTGTGCAAGTTTCACTCCTTTTGAGCTGATCTTTGACATCTCGTCGCTTGATGATCCAACCTGCAATCAAGTACAACTTGTGAGCCTTTTTGGGACTATTTTGTATGAATTTCTAATCGAAGCATAAGCAAGAAGGAGTATAAAATACATCAAAATTCCTAGTTATCAACAGACAGGGTGGGAATCTTGATGGAAGAAGAATCCACCCATGCACCTTGCAAACTCCCAGTTCAAGAGATTGATCCTCCCCCATGATAAGTTGCATCCACTAAGGAAATTCCAGTCTCTTCGGAAGGGATGATTCCAATAAATCAACTAAAGGAGTTCATTGAAGGGACTATAAAAAACAAATATGAAGTTGCTTCCAAGTCCTCCTTTACCTACGCAAAGCCGTACACTTCAAGGATCGATATGTTGAAGATGTCTGCTGGATATCAACCTCCAAAATTTCAACAACTTGATGGCAAAGGCAATCCAAAGCAACATGTGCCGCACTTCGTTGAGACATGCAACAATGCTGGGACTTATGGAGATTACCTCGTCAAGCAGTTTGTCCACTCATTAAAAGGAAATGCTTTTGATTAGTATATAGACCTCGAGGCTGGATCTGTTGATAGCTGGGATCAACTAGAGGAAGAATTCCTCAAACGCTTTTATAGCACGAGACGTAATATGAGTATGATAGAACTTACAAATACTTGTCAACGAAAGGGTGAACCAATTATCAACTATATCAATCATTGGAGGAATGCAAGCCTCAACTGCAAAGACAGTGATACAAGTCAGATGAGCACGCTTAATGAGGATGATTTTCTAGTCAATAGCATAGCATTGGAGCGCTTCAAATGAGTCAAGATCAAGAAGGCTATATTGGCAATTTACCTATTTAGGCTAGTCTTATAATTTAGGTCTACTTAGCTTCCTTACTAGCCAAAGGGTATTTTAGTCATCTAGCCTAAATAACACTCTAGTATAAATAGTCCCTTCCTCTCATTTTGAAAGGAAGCTTTCGATGATGGATTGATAAACAAAGACCAAACCTTGAGAGGTTTAGGGTATCTTTTATGTCTCTTTATTTACCATGTTTTTAGATTATCTATGTTAGTTTTATCATGTATGAGTTCATGTTCATACTCTTGGATTATCTTTTGTATTTGAATGTTAATTCATTGTTCTAGTTGGTATATCTTCTAGGGGCTTTGGATTGCATTCTTTACTTAGCTTGATCCGTATTTCTTATTAGTGTTCTTCCTCGATTAGTATTTATCAATGTAAATTCAAGGGGTCTAACTAGTTCATAGTTAGGTTCTTGTCTTTCTCTATTTTAAACTATAATCTTCTATCTTTTCTATTCCATGTATTTTTGCATTATCCGTGTTTTCGATACAATTCCGTATCATTTTGGTATCAAAGCGCAGAGGTTTTGGATTGTTCTATCAATCTTTGGGTCTTTGTGTTGATTATCAACAAATCAAAAAATCAAAAAAAAATTGAAAAATTCCAAAAATAGAATTGTTACTGTTCATCCGTTGTTTTTGGTTCCCAGAAATAGAAACATAGCTTTGTTGGTCCCTGTTTCATTTAGATACTTCATTTCATTGTTCTCATGTCGATTTTGGTTCTCAAATTTGTGATTCCTTCATTTTCTGAGTTTGAGCTACTAATTTGAGCTAAAAATTCGAGTTTCGCCTAAATCTAAGTCACAAATTTTTGAGAACCCGTCTGTGCCGAGTTCGCGAGAAGCTAGGTTTTTGCTTCGTAGTCAAAATTTCGAGTTCGAATTCGTTTCGGTCTTCGAGATTCTTGTTGGAAACACTAAGACGAAGCTGCAATGGAAGGTTTATTTCGATTTGAACTGATTTTCTAGGTTTTTGGGTTCGAAACTTGTACTGATTGTTCGACGAAGAAGACGAACTTATGTCTTCTGATTTTGCGGCTGTTTTTCGAATTCATCACTGGGGTTTGGTATTGTGGTTGATTAGAGTTATCATTTCAAGTTTGAAGTCATTTGGTGAAGGTTTGAGTGAGATTGAACCGAAAATTGTGAGTCAAGCTCGAAGAACACCAACTGCAAATTTGAAGAGCTTTGCGGACGATTCGAGCAGCTGAGGAAACGTCGCCACGATTTAGGTTTGATTTTCCTGAGTTTTAAACCTAGCGTTAATTCTGGAATTTTTGAAAGTTTGAGGAAGAATGTTGGATTCTGTTGAGAGTTGTGTAATTATGTTGATTATATGTATACTGTTATGTGTTAGTTGTATGTTACTTCTTAGAGTAGTTAAATGAGTAGTTAGTGGCCAGCTCAGCATTAGCTGTTACACACGTGTATATATTCACAACAATAATGAGAAAGACCAAGCTTTCCATTTTCTGCATCTTCTGCTCTCATTTCTAATGAACTCTCTCTCTCTCAGAATCTTCTAGAACGACTCCATTGGAGCTCAATATCGAGCTTCAAGCTCACATCCAAGTCAGAACTTAACATGGTATCAGAGCAAGGGAAGCTCATCCTCGATTATCTGTCTTCGTCTTCGTTCATTTTGCTCAATTTCTTTTTCTCATAATTCTGCTTCTTCAATCAAATCGATTTTGCCCTAGTTTCTTCAAATTGCAAAATCGACAGTCAATTCTTCAATTTTATGCTGGTGTTAGTATATAACACAACAAAGTTCTATACTCATGACCATATTAGATCAAGAAAATACATCTGTTGGTGCTACTGCTGTTCCAGCTGCGACGAACATCGGAATAGATCCAAGTGATCCTCTTTATCTGCATCTGTCAGATAATCCTGGAGCAATGCTCATTTCAGTTCCTTTTAGTGGAATTGGATACAGGTCTTGGAGGCGCAGTGTAATGCGTGGTCTATCCTTAAAAAACAAGCTAGGTTTCATAAGTGGAGAACGTAAGCCACCGGAGCCTCAATCTCAGAGATTCGGACAATGGGAGCGATGAGATGATATGGTAACGTCTTGGATTCTAAATTCACTTTCTAAAGATATCGCGGATAGTGTGGAATATGCTAACAATGTTGTTGAGCTGTGGAAGGAATCAGAGGAAATTGAGTGAAGCAATGTGCTACAAGGGATATACTCACTCTATGTATGACTATTCAATTTTTTACAAGAAAACAACTGAGTCAATAATATATGTGGCAGTATATGCTGATGATGTAATACTGACAGGCACTAACAAAGAAGAAATAGAAGAACTGAAGGGATTCCTACATGAAAGCTTCAAGATCAAAGACTTGGGCAAACTCCACTACTTTCTGGGGCTGGAAATATTGTATAAAGCTTATGGAATTGTAATCACACAGAAGAAATTTATGCTTGATTTACTGAAAGAATACAACTGCATGGATTATAGCAGTCTTGCTTCACCACTTGATCTATCAGTGAAGTTGAGAGCCGAAGAGGGGATTGCATTACCTGATCCCACTTACTATAGAAAATTGGTTGGAAAATTGAATTTTCTCACCAACACAAGAATAGACATAGCCTACAGTGTACAACACCTCAGCCAATTCATGCAAGACCCAAGAGAACCCCACCTGAAAGCAGCCTTTCACCTGCTGAGATACTTGAAGGGTGATCCCTCAATGGGACTATTCATGTCACATGATCCAACATATAATGTTAGAGCCTATTGTGACTCTGATTGGGCTGCTTGCCCATATTCAAGGAAATCAGTGAGTGGGTACTTAGTTCTACTAGGGAATAGCCCAATATGTTGGAAATCTAATAAGCAAGAGACAATTTCATTGTCATCAGTAGAGGTAGAGTACATGGCACTCAGAAAAGTAGTTGGGGAGCTGGTGTGGCTATGCAGATTATTTGAAGAACTCAATATGCCCTTTAACAAACCAGTAGAAGTCTTTTGTGACAGCCAATCAGCCCTACATATAGCACGAAATCCTATGTTTCATGAGCGAACAAAACACATTGAAGTGGACTGTCACTTTGTCAGAAGCAAGTTACAAGAGGGTTGATCTCACTTCAGCATGTAGCAACAGACAATCAGTTGGATGATGTCCTTACCAAGGTCCTAACATGAGTGAAACATTCAGCAACATTGCGCAAGTTGGCAGTGTACATAACACCTCCAACTTGAGGGGGGGGGGGGGTGTTGAGAGTTATGTAATTATGTTGATTATATGTATATTTTTATGTGTTAGTTGTTAGAGTAGTGTTAGTTGAGTAGTTAGTGGCCAGCTCAGCATTAGCTGTTACACACGTGTATATATTCACAACAGTAATGAGAAAAACCAAGCTTTCCATTTTGTGCATCTTCTGCTCTCATTTCTGATGAACTCTCTCTCTCTCTCTCTCTCCCTCTCTCTCTCTCTCTCTCTTCTAGAACGACTCCATTGGAGCTCAATATCGAGCTTCAAGCTCACATCCAAGTCAAAACTTAACAGATTCTACTACTGAAATTTTTGAGAGTTCAGTTTGAAGTTCTCTTTTCAAAACTTTTTGTTTTGTTGAAGTTTTCCACTATTTGTGGAATGTTGAGGAGTAAATTGAAGCTGAAATTCTCCTAGTTTGTTGCATTGATTTGAAGAAGGAAATTGATTGAGTTTGTTTTAGATGCTTTTGAGTTCGACAACTTCTCCTGTTTGTCTTAAACTGAATCGTTTGAGTTTTAACTGGTTGTTAGCTGCTGCAAGTTTGAAAATCCATCTTTGGGTTGCGATTTGAGATTGATTACTCGAATTATGAACTGAAAACTCATTGAGTTGAATTTTGAGAATGACTCGAGGTTGTTATTGGTTTTAACTGCTTCTTTGAAGTTCTTATTTTGAAATTCGATTGGGAAATGACTTGGAAGAGATTTGTTTGATTTTAAAGTTGATTTCTCTGAATGTCGAATGGAAATTTATCCTTTCGTGCTGTTCCAATCAAGCTAGCTACTGCAATTATGGGTTGCATAGACTATTTCCTGCAGCTTGAGTTCTCTGTCCAGTTGAGAGAACTTGCAGTACTTTCCCAGTTGCTTCATATTGTTGAAGAGCATTGCAGTTTATAGTGATTCCTTGCACCAGTTGAGCTACCATTCTGCACTATTTTCAGCTGCTTTTTTCTGCAACAATTATGAATAGTATTTGCAGCAATTCAGTACACTGTTTGCACCAGTTAATTGCAGGTTTGACCAGCTTTGAGATGAAGTTTTGAGCTGCAGTTTTGGCCTAGTTCCAGTTGCAGTTTCTGCCTGGTTTTCAGGGATTGGAAACCTACTGTTTTGTGGCTAATTGTTCTCCAATTAGCTGCAGTCGTGGAACAGTCTCTATCAGAGGTTCGAGCAATTTGCAGAGCCTTGTTTGTCTGCCCTGTTTGAGCTGTAGAACAGTCTATTAGAGGGTGTTTAACTACTGAGCTTCAGTTAGTTGTTGTTTCTTCCTAGTTGGTATTGGTCTATTTTGAAAAGGGTGTCAACAGTCTGCAGTTTTGCCAGCATTTGTGAATCTATCCAGAGTTACAGATTTGGCCATTCTTTGCAAATCTGACCAGTGTTACAAGAATAGCCAATTTTTACGAATATGACCAAAATTTGACGAAATGTCTAGCTTTGTAGTTTCTTTTATTTTCTTTCTTTTCAATTTGTAGTAATCTAAACTCTTAACTAGATTAACTTCATATTAGTTCATATTGAGTTTATTTCTAGTTTCTTTATGTGCTTTGCTTATTTCGTGCCAATTTTTCGTGCTTTTCTCTTTTAATTTCGTTGTGAATTCTTTGGCTCAAGTCCATTAGCTTTAGTTGTTCTTTCCTTGGTGTCACATACATTCCATTCCGAACCGATGCTGGATTGCCTACTTGGATTGATTTGAGAATGTTGGTTGTGGAGAGAACTTTTAGATACCCTTGTAAGAAAAAAGGCTTGAGTGGTGAGTTCAGTTGAGCGAGGTCGCAAAAGCCTTTGACCTTTGAGTGTAAACACGAGTGTTGAGTGACATATATATTGAAAGATATATTAAGGGAGTGAATTGGGAGGTCCTATTTTTACTAACCGACTTTCTTTTTAAGTTTTATTTTGTGGGTACAAGGAGTCACAAGGAAGGTATGGATGGTTATTGGGGTTCATCTCATGGGACTAATTGTGCTACTCCAAGTATTGAAATATTTTATGATAAAAGTGGGAGAAAGATAAATTTGATGCATTATGAAGAGAATGTAGAAGGCTATGATGGTTGCTTGGTTGCTATAAGTAATCAGTATGCGACCAACTTTATTACTTCTTCCTATGTTGAATGGTTGGGATTGAGTTGTATTTCAAGGGAATCGCCTTATAAATTTTGGGGTGAGCGAGTTGATAGAGGTGTGATGGTTACTATAACCAAAGGAGACTTTAAAGAAGTGGTTTGGTGTGATGTATATCCTATGAAGTATTTCCATGTACGATTGGGAAAGCCTTGGTTTCTTGATCATAATCTTCCAATTGATGTAAAGTGGAATAGGTATGTGGTTGATAAAAATAGAAGGGTGCATACTTTCATTCCTAAATACTTTGAGGATAAGTTGGTGGCAAGGCAAGATAGTGGATATGGAGTTTGGAGTGAAAATCAATTCACAAGTCCTCCTCCTAGTCCAAGTGGAGTTTATGATGCTTATACTATGTCAAGCCCAATTGTGTCTTTTGACACTTGTTACAATGCACCTTACACTTATCCACCAACCCACTATCAACACCAACTACAACCCCCAACCACACTTCAACCACCACAAGTACATTAACTACTACCTTATCAACCTTCACCACAACCTAGACCACCACTAACTTTACCTCCACAACATATGCCTCAAGCACCACCAATGAGGGATAATCTCCCTCCTCCACCATCCATACCACCTCAAGAGCCTCGAATGATTAACAACCCACTTTTCACCATGATCATGAGACCACCTTTAATGAGTTGGACAATATCCAACAAGTTTTCAGTGACGAATATAAGGGGGATGAAGTGAACCAAAGGGGAAGAGGCCAAATCAGGGAGAGAAAAGTAACAACTCTAGAGTGGAAAAAGGAGAGAAAACGTGGAGTGAAGTGAGTGAGTTGTCATAAGAAAAGAGTAAAGAGCTTGAAAATAAAATGAGAGAAAAGAAAGAGAGAAAACCAAAAGAGAGTGGGGATTTTCCTTATTCTAATGTCATTAACCTTTTTTCTTTCTCTAGCTGCTTTGTATCTTGTGTAGGGAATTTTGAAGATGAGCCATCAAATGAAGTTCAATCCACTTTGAAGAGTTTGGAAGAAGACCAATCTACCTTTTTAAGAGGACTTATGGAATTAAATGAGAAAGTGCAAGGTAAAGAAAATACATTAGACGAGCTTCAAGATAAAATAGCTTATCCTTCTACTCTTGCTAGTTTAGTTGATTGTGGTGACACTTTGAGTTTGACCGATAGCTATGACATTGATGAGTTTGATATTTCTTTAACTTGTGATGAGAAAAATAATTGTGGCTTGCAACTAGCTAAGAGTTCTTGTGCATTATTGGATGATCGTAGTTCCTTGTTTAATGACTCTTTAGCTAGTGATGATGTTGAGTCTTATGATAAACCACCTTTATGGGATGATGAATGTGATAATTCTTTTGACTCTACTTTAACTTTGTTGGAAGAAAGTTTTGAACTTTATGAAGAAATGAGTCAAGAAGAATGTGTTGATGAATTCTTTGATTCGATTTCCATTCCTTTGGAAGAAAGATTCAATTTTATGATGAAATGAGCAAATGTGAATATGGTGATGACTTGGTTGAGAGTAAAAAGGAAAGTAAAGTTTTTGATGCTAGCACTCGTATTAGTTGCTTTACTAATTTTATTCCTACTTTTGAAAGAACATTCTCGTTAGATTTTGCTAATGCTTCTATGAAAAAAGGTAAGAATGCTTCTTTTGATGTTTTGAATAATAATTGTGAGCAAAAAGAACATAAATTTATGGATGGATTATTTTGTGAAGGTTCAACAAGAGAAAGTTGCTAAGGGTAAGGAAAGCCTTAAACTACACTTCGGCATATTATTTGTCAAGAGCTTTTTCTTTTGCCCAAAATCAAGAATGGTATGTACATTTGGCTTATGCTTATCTTGTGTTTAGCTAAGGCCATTGAGGTAAAGATTCATAACTTTGAATATTTTGATATTCTCTATATGGTGATTCATGATGTTGGCTTATTTCTTAAGTTGCCATGTGAATTTGTTGTTGGAAAGTATGTGGATACTTGGGGATTAAAGTTTTTTTTTCTGACCCCGGAGTTATTTCTTGCTATGGTATAGTGTCTTTCTATGGATTGGAGAGTATAGCTTCTTATGACACTTGGTTATACCATAAAAGTGTGCACTTTGTTGAGTCCTTTACAAGATTGTGGTTTTATTGGAGGCATGAGACTTTATCTTTTCTTGATTATTCTCATAAGTTTTATTTTTCTTGTAGTCAAGTTTGTGCCATTTGTGTTGAAGATGTATTCTTTATAGATTATGACACTTGACTATATCATAAGAGTGTTACTTTTGAGTGCAAGGTTGAGAACTTTGATCTTTTAGCTTGGACATATAATGCTTTGATTGTGATAGGCTTGGTACATAAGTTTGCCCCTTTCTTGGTTTTGCAAGGTCCAAATCTGAGGACGAATTTCTTCAAGGGGGGAGGATGATACAAGCCATATGAGCACGCTTAATAAGGATGATTTTCTAGTCAACATCATAGCATTAGAGTGCTTTAAAGGATTCAAGATCAAGAAGGATATATTGGCAATTTACCTATTTAGGCTAGTCTTACAATTTAGGTCTACTTAGTTTTCTTACTATCCTAAGGGTATTTTAGTCATCTAGCCTAAATAACACTCTAGTATAAATAGTCCCTTCCTCTCATTTTGAAAGGAAGCTTTTGATGATGGATTGATAAACAAAGACCAAACCTTAAGAGGTTTAGGGTATCTTTTATTTCACTTTATTTACCATGTTTTTAGATTATATATGTTAGGTTAATCATGTATGA